CCAGGGCAGCATCTGTTAGTTAAAATATGTCAAATGGTATACCATCTATTCCTGGGGCCTTCTTTTTCTGCTATTTCCTTCAAAGCAGCCTGAACTTCTTCTTTCATCATGATAGGCTCTTGCTTATATGTTGTTTCATGAAATTCTTCTGTGTCTGCCAAAATTTTGTTTAGTGATGTTAATTTGCAGCTGATTAGGGTTATGATCCTCTCAATTCCTTTCTATATATATGAAAGCTGGATAATGAATAAGGATGCCAGACGAATAATCTATGACTTTGAGTTATGGTGCTGGAGAAGAGTATTGTACATACTGAGGACTGCCAAAAGAAAAAAACTGGTCTGTTCTAGAAAGGGTGAAACCAGGCTGCTTCGTGGAAGCAAAGATTTTTAAGTTCCTTCTCATATACTTTGGACATGCTGTTGGGAGAGAAGCCAGTCCTTGGAGAAAGGCATCATTCTTGGAAGAGTGGAGAGTCAGTGTAGGAGAGGAAGACCCTGGATGAGATAGGGCAAGAATCAGAGTTGTTCATAGAGTTTCTATGAATCACAGGTGACTCGATGATATCCAACAACAACCGCCAGTATCATACTCATCCACTTCTTCCCTGTGCTTCTCACTTCTCTCAGTCCTGTATCCTAACCCTCATTGCCTTCTGAGCTGTATCCTTGGACAAATATTGTTCTTTTGTGGTTGGTTATTCTAAGGAGAGCCTCCTTTGTATTATTATTTGCACTATAGTTCTGTTTATTGTTTGTCTGAGCTCTGAACCACAGTTGTGAATTTTCTTCCTGCTATGAAGGATGACTAAGGCTCATATTCTTGGGGGGTTCTACTAGTTTCTTGAATCAGTAGTCTGCACATTTTTTATGTCAGTTTTATTTCACATTTTGACCTACTGTAACCATGACCCTCTATTGTGATCTCTTTTAGAATGGTCAGCAGTGGTAGTGGGGCACTAGTTCTTCTGAACTCAGAATCATGGAGGTTGAAGGAACCAGGATTTAGTAGTCCTTTAGACCAACTGTGCACTTTTGCTTTTATTTCCTCTTTTTTTTCTAGAAATAGAAAAACTGGATGAAATATGTTTACG